TCCATCTATGTGCCAACCGGGAGTTGTTCTAATTTGCCCTCCATTCTCTCTTCCCTCTTCAATACAATTTATATTGGGGCTAGAAATGAACAAGAGTTATATGCTCTAAGGTTCGTGAGCATGTAATCACTCAAATGATGCGATCAGAAGCGGAATACATGGCTTATTCCAAGGTAAGCCGTATATGCCGCAGTTGGACTAATTATGATCGGTTGCAATAATGAATCGTGTACGTTTCTCAATGATACTTAGACCACGTCACTCAGAGGACACGTAGGATAGCAGGGGTCATTCCCATTGGACCATTGGGTGCAGCTGAGCCCTGAAATCGGCTGCGTGATGACATTTTGATGACGACGATGACGACGACAATTGTGACGATGTTGATGATGTCAGTGTTGAGCAGACCACCACGAGACTTTTCAATACTTCATCACTCCGGTTTTTGTCACCACCTCGTGCTCACAATCGGCGCAGTCCTGCTCGACAGACACCACGTAGTGTACGATTCCACTGCAGCCCATGCTGCAGAAGGCTTTGTGAAGGGCATGTGGCCTTTGTGGCCCTCACACGAACCTTCTCATATACTTCACTCCTGGCTGTACTTTCTAGACTTAGTACTATCTCAGCGATTTCCTCTGAAAGGAACCGTATAGTACTTTCCTTATTGATTTTAGAATGCTATTCGACCAGTATAGACAACTGTATAATTTCATTCAGATTGCTAGTGTATAGTCGATTAAGTGGTGTAGTGACAAGTGGCGCGCTTACCACGCGAGCGGTCCGGGGATCAAATCCTGGGTCGTGAGTCGCCCGGGCCAACCAAGCCTTCCATCCCTCCGGGGTCGGTTAATTGGTACCAGACTTGTCTGGGAGGATAAAAACACTGACTTGTACATCGGCTGGCCCCGCAAGTCATTGTATAGGCCACATCGCATTCAAACGCCACTACGAATGTACAAATGGAAGTAGAATGCGTGCCGCATCCCAAAAAGGGATTGATCAACGGCAAATCCTAATACTTCGTATAGCATACATTATACGAAGTTATACGATATCTTGGTCTGCGCACGCGAAGTCACGTACAAGTAGGACCTATTCCCACGAAGTCGTCACATTATGGTATCGGCCGCCAGATGTGCTGCTTGGAAGCACTGAATACTCAACATCGTTGGATATGTGGTAAGCGTTGATGATGCTTCACCGTTCAGAATTAGCTAAATATTAATTGTCCAAATAAAGGAAGTATATTTAGGGGTGTTGGGTGTATCTTTGCGGAGCTCTGCACAGGTCAAGCGATCTTCCCCGGCACCAAAGACGTCACGGATCAGCTCGACAAGATATTCAGCGTACGAGGTGTACCGGACGAGTCAAGTTGGCCCCAGGTTAGTTGCAGAATGGTTCGTTTATTTGAACTAAACACTGTTGGTTTGCGGTGGCTTATATTCGCTTACACAATGGTTCAAAATTTCGCATTTCATCATCACAACGGGTCGGTCCTATCGTTGCTACTTTTCAAAAAGTTTTTACGACCCCCCACCCTCATGAAAAGTTTCATACGACCCCCTCTACAAACTCATCAAAATACGACCCCCCGTTGCTACTTGTAGCAACATAGGGTTGACCCTGATCACAACTATGCCGTATGCGAATTCCGCCAACACTCACACTAAGGCTTCATTAGTAGGTTTCTGTAGCCCCTTCTGGCTCTTTAAAGCAAAACTTATCGTTCGATAGGCCTGTATGTATGTCGCTGGAGATTTTGCAAACGGTCCATTTACTAACATGATGGATGCCGATAGCGGCTGTGAAAAGCAAGAAAAATTGTCATGTTAAGAAGGCATTATGGAGCTATCACAAGAGACAAGGGCATCCTCCAGGGCACAGCCTGGGAGGGGGCAGGAGCTTCAAGGAAAATGAAAGATTAGCTCCCGCACCTAGAGTCTCACCTCCCTCACCTGAGAGGCTCAGCAGTGTTTTCAACATAATAGGAGAAGTTTTGCGCGGTTTTAAATGCATTGCCTTCACAATGCCTCCGCATCTTGTGATAGCGTCAACATTACTATCCCTCTCGCAGCTGTTCCGCTGTTACGATGCAAAATAATTTTCTGGTTTTTCGTTGTTTCAGTTCGAATTTGTGATTTTTTGACAATAGTGCATTATTTTTTCACGTCAGGTGAAGGATCTACCTCATTATTCGTCAAATGCCTTCCCGAATTACAAGGAGATTCCGTTCAAGCAGGTGAACATTCTGTTGACGAAACTGCAAAAAGCTGGGACGGATTCTGCTCGGAATGTTTTTGCAGGTAACAAATTAACATTTCATTTGTAGTCGTTGTCCAGTTAGTAGGAAGGGGGGGGGGAGAGAGAGAGAGGAGAGAAATAAAAAAAAAATCTTATTGTAACCTTATTTAAGGGGGTCTGATCAAACACCGCAGAATACGAAGCGAAAGTTCACATTAAAAACGGAA